TTCTAGAAAGATTACTCCAGTGATTGCGAGGAGAATGAGATCGTCGGGAGACTGGAGTCAGAGAGATCAGTGCCAGACAGAAGATGCTGCTCCAAGATCAGTGTTGATAAGGAGGGAGGAAGGGCTACATACAAAAACTAAGGAGGCAAGCTGAACAGACCTGAGGACTGCTTGGACATGGGTGGCAAAAGGGAGAGGAGCTGCAGATGATGTATAAATGCTTACCCTGGTGAGAAAGAAGAGAAGTCAGGTGAAGTTACTGTGTTTTGTTTTTTTCAGTAGAAGAGGATAAATTTAAGTTTTGACATGTGACGTCTGAGGTGTACAAGGATATAGAGGTTGAAATGTCAGTATAAAAACTCACAGAGTAGTCTGCATTAGAAATAATAGCTTCAGAGTCAACAGCACTTATAAAATCTTGACAAGATGAGAAGGGCAGGTAGACTGTGATCAGGGAGAAAAGCAGTGGGCAGAGGAAGAACCCTGGGAGAACACCAATATTTAAGAGGAAGACAGAAGAGGCTGTGACAAAGACAGAAGAAAAAGTCCAAGGGCTAGAGAAGCAGAGATCACAGAAATCAAGAGATTAGTTTCAAGAAGCTGTGAGTGAGTGGTCACCACTGTCAAATGCAGTAGAGAAAGGTCCGCCAAGTTGAAGGATGAAAACCGTAGGCTTCCTTTAACAATTAATATGTATGCACACTGGTTAGACCTCTTGGTTGCAGACAACTGAATCCACTCAAGGTACTTCAGGCAGAAAGGTATTTATTAGAGGTTATTAGATAAGCGTACACAATCTCCAGGAGGCCACAGACACAGGTTTGGAGGTCTCTCTGCCGGGAACAGCAGCAATCGCCAGGGCAAACACCCACCCTCACCACAGGACTGTTACAGCGGAAGGCCCACTGCCACCTGTGATCAGAACCTTCACCAAAGCTACCCCAGATGAATAAACACCTCAGCCACGGAGCCTACAAAAAGGGCCACCCTTCCTAAGAGCAGCCTCATTCCAGGATGAGTTTACTCCATGCCACCTAACTGAATGTGCACCTTCAGACTTCCAAAGTCCCATCACCTACTTCATCCACAAATGATACCTCTTGTGCAGCATAAGGAAGATGATCCACTCAAGGTACTTCAGGCAGAAAGGTATTTATTAGAGGTTATTAGATAAGCGTACACAATCTCCAGGAGGCCACAGACACAGGTTTGGAGGTCTCTCTGCCGGGAACAGCAGCAATCGCCAGGGCAAACACCCACCCTCACCACAGGACTGTTACAGCGGAAGGCCCACTGCCACCTGTGATCAGAACCTTCACCAAAGCTACCCCAGATGAATAAACACCTCAGCCACGGAGCCTACAAAAAGGGCCACCCTTCCTAAGAGCAGCCTCATTCCAGGATGAGTTTACTCCATGCCACCTAACTGAATGTGCACCTTCAGACTTCCAAAGTCCCATCACCTACTTCATCCACAAATGATACCTCTTGTGCAGCATGAAAGGAAGATGGAGTCAAAAAAAAAAAAAAAAAAGCAAGAATAATCTTTATTCCTCACAAACACATTTGTAAAAATGTATCAATGAAATCAAAAGATTCAGAACACAATTATCTGTATGCAGCACATAAACTGAGGACCAAAACATCTGCTAAAAGGAAATACACCTGTAAACATGTATCTTAGGGAGCGTTTATAGGTGATCAACTCCACTGTGCACGGTGTGCAGCTGATTCCCTCCTTCTGGATAGATTTTTGTGGTAACCAAAAAAAAAAAGAGATCAGATTTTGGCAATAAACTATCTCAAGGGAGGGAAACACATTTTTTTTTTAAAAAAAGGCTTAAAAGGGCCAAATTACAATTACATATATAAAAAATGGCACAAGAATGGATTTCACAAAAATACTAAGGAAAGTATCTCAGGCCTATGTATCAGGAGGAAAAAAAGGTCTTACTCGGGGGCTTGAAACGGGGGTGGGAAATAAAGAGTTTGGTATTGAGTTCTACCCTAAAAGGCAACATATTGATTTCTGGTTCTACAGAAAGACTGTGCAACACCCTCCTATCCTCTTGCACGGGATGCTTTGGCACAACTTCACTAAAATTTTACACGCTTCAATTTGAGCCATAAATGCATCTCATATTGCATGTTGCTTCTTAAAAGAATGAAGCCTAGGATAAAAACCAACCCTCGAACTCTATGTATTGACAGTGTGCATTCATAATTATGTCTTCTGAAAGCACGCAAGTTAGAAGCACCAATCGTTAAGACATTAAAAAATTATTCTTGTACTTGAACAGCAACTTCTATAAAAATAAAGGCTATGTGATTTCTGATTAATGAAACTGCGAGAATTCAAAATGACTAAACTGCTTTAAGATAGGAAATTCAAAATCTCCCTGTACTGATATAACCTTTAACATGTTATATACTTTATTCAGCTTTTGAAAGAGGTAACCCTCTGTTAAAGAAGGTGTGAATGTTATGTCCTCAGCCTAAGAATATTAAATGTTGATAAATCACAGAACTGTAGAGCTAGAGAGGACCTTGTGATCATTTAGTCCAACTTGCTCTTTTCAGACGGGGAAAATGAGGCCAACAGAGGGGAGATGGTCTGTCCAAGATCACACAATGGCAGAGGCTGGGCCCCCAGTGACCTCAGTTCCCACCGCTGTACTATATGGTACTCTCTACGGAGCGATCTTCCCAAGTTTTTCTGGTTTTCTTTGGTCCCATTCATTAAATAACAAAGAAACATCAGGTACACAGCAATACGATAAACACAGACTTATACTCCAATTTTAAAATCAGAATATCAAAACGATTCCTGAGCCTTTAACTAGCTTCATTTTTTGAGAATGCAGTCAACAGTAAGTTAGGACTACCTATTGGGGTTATTTTCAAATATTTACACAGACACTGAAAACACCTTTCAGAACTATTCCTAGAAGACATTTCTACAAACACGTCCACGGGATGCCAAGACACTTTCCATGGGATGTAACGAAACTATGATGGTGAATGGAAGTAAGACGCTTCAGTATCTCAAAGTGCAGTCATGAGTTTATCTCGATACATCGTACTTTGCATTCCTCCTAAGTTCTTCTGGTTCTGGTCGTGGACATAATCGAAATGGCTGTCATCTCCACTGGCCGATGCTTTCCAATGCGGCCTGTCATCCTGAAAGGACGGCCTGTTTTGTTCGCAGAGTGAGTGGTCAGTGGGGGTATGAAGACAATTCAGAGAGGTGAGTGAGACAACACAAGCACAAAGGAAATGGACAAGAAAAACCATGAACCACATAAATGGGGATGGCTTTCAGATGGAAATGAATGGATTTTCTACTTTCGAGTATTTAAAAAATTCAGATGTGGGTCCTCTATCAACTTCCAAGTTGAGAACAGCTCTGCCCATGGCTGTGCCATCATCCCTCAAAGGGTGTCTGATGATCAAGTCAGTCTGGGGAAAGCTAGGTGGTGGTGAAAAAGGTTCCTTTTCTACGGGAATTCTCAAGAACTGTTGTCATGTGAATGGACACTGTGAACGCCTCATGCAGCATTTTCCAAAAGTGCTGGACCAAATAATTCTCCTTTCCTGGAGAGTCTGATAAAACACAATATGTTGGGAACCACCCCCAGAGATTCTGATGCAGTAGGTCTGGGGTGGGGCTGGGACTCTGCATGAACAAGTTTGCAGGTGACACTGATACTGCCAGGCAGCAGGGCCACCTGCAAGCAGCACCGGTCCAGCCTCCCTAGCATTCCCAGCCAGGTCTGCCTCACAAGGAAACCAATACGGTAAAACAGGCAAAAATAAGTGCTAAATTTTATAAACACAAGGTTAAATTAAAAAGCATTTCTATAGGTCTCTCTGTGTCTCATGTCTGGAAAGGAAACGGCCTTTGCAACACAGAAACATTCAGAAGTATTACTTCACTAGTTTAACTTGCTTTTAAATGTTACATGTATCAAGTGCTTATGATCAGACTGCACTGTTGTCCTACAGGATCCCCAGCAAACTTGGTCAGAACTATCAAGAACTAACTGCTCTCATTTGCCCTGTTCTCAATGGATTTATTCCCATCACTCCATTCGCCGCACTTTCTCAAGGAGCAAGGCTAGCAGTCTCACTAAGAAATAACTTTATGCAAACTGAATTCACCAACTATGTTTCTGAAAGAGCTTCACACATAAACACCAATTAAGACTGATCTGAAATTCAAATCATGAAAGGAACGTTTGCCTTTACAAAGCTGGCATTAAAAAAAAATCTCAAGCTTAACTGTAAATGCAACAAGGCAGGTGCCAGTTTACTTAGGAAGGACTGTGGTAGGTTAGGGCAGAGGTGGGTAAACACGGCCCTCAGCCTAAATCCCACACTGTCTATTTTCATAAATAGGCTTTATGGGAACACAATCAGGCCCATTCACTTCTGTATCATCTGTGGCTGCTTTCAAGCTACCATGGCAGAGTTGAGTAGTTGTGACAGAGACCACAAAGCTGAAAATACTGACTATCTATCTGGCCCTTTACAGAAAAAGTTTACCGACCCCTAGCTTTAGAAAAAGATCCATCACCACAAAAAGCAACCCTCCACCCCATCCCTGGGAAAAAAAAAAAAAATCCTTTCAAAAAATCCCACAACAGAAGTCCCTGAGCTTTAGTCTTATTTTTAGTAAATGAATTCTCAGGACGGGAAAAGGTTACTTAGAAATTTTAAGTAACATTTCAAACATAAAACCAAACCCCAAATATCTGAGGTTAGAATGACTAAAACAAAACAAAACAAAACAAAAAACCCCACCCAGTTCATCTTTATTTCATCAAGCATAACTTTAGTAAATCCAGACCCATCACCGGCTTATTTTGCTTTGCAAGCTATTCATCTCTTCCGGGACAAGACAACTCTTTAACAGCTGTTTCTGATGCAGAATTTCAATTCATAACTAAGTTGACAAGGAGAGCTTGGGAAAGGACGGCTCTATGAGCTCAGGTACTTACCTGATGTTTGGAGAGTGCGGGTGCCACCGAGGCTGGCTGGGGTGAAGATTGGGGTGATACTGAGGCTAGAAATAAAACACCAAACTCGATTATTAGATGCCCTTTGCTTTCAATGGTCTTCACCGGCTGTGAATGGAGAGGCTCTTACTGAACCCTGGCTGGGGGAGTGCACGTTTCCCAGGATATCACGTTTCCCCCGTGACAAAGGCTGGGGGCTGCCCTCCAAGAAGAAAGCGGAAGGCATCTGCCTTGAAAGGGTGCCCTAGAGCGCCCAGGCAAGGCAATACTCATCTCTCCCAAGGGAACCCACGGAAGGGGCCAGAGAGACGGAGAGAATGCGGGTAATTTATTCTTTAGAAACAATTTCTGCCGTTGCTGAAACTGACAACAACTGTGTGTAAACAGTTACATCTGCAAACAGACAAGGACTGGACAGAGGATGCCAAGGCAGCAGG